TTTTTTACTGGAAACATCATAAATTTCTGTTGCTTACAGTTTTCGAAAATTTTGTTCGCAATAAGAAAAAGTTAAGGACAAACAGTAAGAGCTAGCACAAACATATATCAAATAGTCAATTTAGAAAAAAGGGAAAGTTCTTTTATTCACTGTCATCGTTATTTACTGCTTAAGGTTTACCACTTATATCGCAGGTCATAAAACTATTTACACAAGAACAATGTTATCTTTTTCAAGATTGAGTTTTTGTCGAAGATATAATACATTCTAATCTCAAAGAATTCAGTATTCTGTATTCAGACGGAGAGAACATTTATGTTTGAGAAAAAAGGAATTTTTCTCAAGCAGTAAATCCCACAATGGCAGTAAATAAAAAAACTCTCCCTTTTTTCTAAATTGACTATTTGAAATATGTTTGTGCTAGCTCTATGTATGTTACATGTAACATACATGTTAGTTGTAATTTCTTACTCAACAAACAATATAACTGTTATATAATATACGTGTTATATAACAGTTATATTGTTGAATAGGAAATTACAACTAACATATATGTTATATGTAACATTGTGTTTGCTGGGAATATAATTTGTAAAAACGAGTACTGTAATATAAATTGTAAATAGTACAACGAAAAGGCTAAAGTGGCGCGCGCGAAGCGCGAGCTATGTGGTGTTCTAGTATAATAAAAGAGAAGTTAGAGATACATGCATAAAATATTTATGTAAAATATGTTTACCTTATAAATATTTATAAATATTATAATTATTTATAAATATTATAAATATTTCGATAAAGTTTATCGAAAAAATAAAACTCTTGACTGTAGGAACGTTAAACACACTTCTTAAATTACGATTTCATAAACGTTTCTATTTAAACGTTTTTTATTAGTGCTTTCCCATTTTGAAACATTACATACGTATATGAACATGTGCTACCTGGGATCGTTTTAAACATGTTAATTTAATGTTTCTTGCTTATTTATCAACAACATTCAAAAAATATGTTTTGAAATGTTTGTACAACATTTCTTTAATGTTTGAAATGTAATATTATTAAGCAACGTTTTAAAAACATTTATAGAATATTATAAAGGAACATTACAAAAATACATATAATATCAACGTTTTAGAAAGTTGATTTAATGTTTCTTGCTTACTGAGTACTTTATGGAATTTAATGGAAAAAATTTTCGCTATTTAATCTCGTGTCGATAAATTCATATATTATTCAACTAAATCATAATTACAGGAACACAGTTTCACAAAAATATCTAATATACTTTATCGTAAGTTAAATTGGAAACGATAAAATATCAAAACCCACACGGAAATGTCCCGAATATATCATAAGGGTATCCTACAGATATTGAGGTATCTTTATAATATCCTTATGATATATTCGGGACATTTCTGTATGGGAATAGACTACGCACAGTAGGGCCCCATACAGCAAAGGGAAATCTGTGGAATTTCCTAAGGATATCCTGCCAGGGTATTGCAATATCCTACAGATATCCCATAGAAGTCGTGGATATGTGAGAGATATTACTAGAATACACTAATATCCGCAGTTACGAACACGTATAGATATCGCATATTGTAGCGAAATATATTTGTATGATATCCCTGAGATCTCTGATTATTGCCGTGTGCAGGAAAATCCCAGAAGATATATTGTACGTATATTTTACAAATATATTAGTGATGATTATGGTACATAGTCTGGATATATCTGGGAGAATATTTTTGATAATAATAATGACTAAATTTATATTGCTTACTTAATATGCATATCAATAAATATATAATTAGTACAAAATGTGCTTAGTAAGTCAATTTTATACCGATATACTAATTTATATGCATATTAAACAATTATCAATATAATGTAGACATTAGTATTGTAGCTGAAATTATACAAAATAGAATTACACCAAATACAATAAATATATCTTTGGTGGAAAGATTTCTCAGAATCTCAGAAAATTCTCATAATTTTTTCAGATTTTTTACATGAATTGGAATATCTCTCAGTTTATTGTATAACACACAGGTTGTATAAAATCTATATTGTTCAATCAAGAAATACAACTACTGATAGGTTGTTATGAGTATTCTGTTTATATATATTATCTAATAACTACAAGTTATCACCTATAATAGGAATGTTACATGAACTAACGCAAATGTTATTAATCATAAATTTAATGTTAATTTATTTACGTGAGATGTTATGATATCTTCGTGCAATACAAGCTGCAGTTGTGTTGGAGTCATTTCTTTATTAGTCGCAAGTAATGCCACATTTTTAGCTTTTCTGAAACAGAAAAAGTTTTGCTCTCGGTAATTATTCAGTTTAGGCCCCTCACCTTTCGATGAAAGTAGATTCAATCGACGCGTTTTTGAACGAGAAACGACTTTTTCATCTGACAAACTCGTCGTTCTTTACTGCGAAGCGAAATATTAGCCGACAAAGTTAACTATTATTAAAGTTATAAAAACTATCTCCTCTCTCTCTCTCTCTCTCTCTCTCTCTCTCTCTCTCTCTCTCTCTCTGTTCATTTTCCTTGGATTCAGATCTTTTTTTGCGGCCCTTTCATCAAAGTATCAAAAGGTATGTTTCTCAAAAAAATCACAGGTCCGAACATGTTTGAACACGTCTTAATATAACGGCTGGGTGGAAAACTCACACCGACGACAAACAGCGAGATGTATATGCTCCATATCACTTGTGCATTTCCTATAGTTTTCGAAATATTAATAATAAGATGCCTGTCTCTAGCCATGTACATGCTTTATATCTTATACTCATCTTTAGGATGTCTGTACGATATATTTTACACATTATCATATTTAAGATATCTTTTGGATATTGTATACGGGGATATTTTCGAAATTTATTCATTATGATATTATCAGGAGATTGAGATATGTTTTGCATATCCGCGATGATTTTAGTATATCCCATGGATATCAATTGCTGTGTGGGGCATATATTAAAAATAGAAATATAAGTATTAAATAACCTAATTTAACCTAACAAAAATATAATTATTTAAAATGAAAGAATTCTAATAATCACAAAGTATTATCGATGTTACAACCCAATCAGAACCATAACGTTGATTCAAGGTTGATTTGACGTCGAAATGATCGATGAGCCGTTGATTCAACCCTCATCGGCGTCGAGCCAATTTTGAATCAACATGTGGTTTGGCTGGGAATATCAACTTAATCATATAATATATTACGTAACTGTTACTTTGTTGTACAGGGTGTTTGATTCATACCGTACCAGTGCTGGGATTCTATAACTTGTTATTGGAATTAACAACAGTTTCGTTATCGTTGCACAGTTTTTGTACATCGTAGAAAAGTTACGCAACGATAACGAAACTATCGTTAACTCTAAGAACAAGTTACAGAATCCCAGCACAGAATTGATATAGTTAGAATAGGTCGGGGTGAGTAGTGGAATCGGTATAATTTTTTTAAACAACCACATAAAATTTTGAGTTATTAAATAAAGTAGATGGATAATTAGAGCGCGCGACGCTGCAGGCGAAGAAAATGGACGATTGCTCGCGGGCCTATCTTATTTGGTAGCTGCTATCAAACGGCCCACCTCTCTGGCCTATGAGACAAGTCCGCGAGCAATCGTCCATTTTCTTCGCCGATCGTGGCGAGCCGTACGTCCCGCTTGACAAATCACCGCGCTCTGATTAGCCCATCTACTTCATTTAATAACTCGAAATTTTATGTGGTTATTTAAAAAAAGACACCGATTTCATTATTCACCCCGACCTATTCTAGCTATATATTAGCTCTGGTATAAATCAGATACTCTGTATAACAAAATAACAGTTACATAATATATCATATGATTGAGCTGACATTGTAATATGAATGATACTTTGTGTTTACTGGGAATAGGATAGACAAATGTACCACAATTCAAGAATTAGGAATCAGGAATAAAAATGACATGATGTTAGATATAAGAAATTAATCACATTTTAAGCATAAAATATACGTAATATTTAACCCAGTAAGCAAGAAATCATTAATATAATGTTACTACAATGATATTCAAGAACCTATAATATTGTCAAATATGTTTAATATTGTATCGAATATCATACTTCGACCGCGATTTGGAAGTTTCAATAATGTTGAAATAGGGTTGCCATAACGTTTTAATCATTAGAAATATTTTTAAGATGTTGCATTGATCTGAAATAAATGTTAAAGTAGCATTTGAAAAATTTAGTTTTTAATATTTTTAAAACGTTTAAATAACATTCAGAAAAATCATATAGCAAAATAACATGTGAAAAATATAAATGCAATATTATTAAAAAATGTCCAAACAATGCATATGAAGTCAACGTTTCTAAATGTTAATTTAATGTTCCTTGCTTACTTGGGTGTTTACTTAGAGAATATTTCTATTTCTAGGTTATATTCTAAAACATTCCTTTCAAAGAAAATTTTACTGAAAATTCATAGTAAATATAACATAAACTATAGATTTTAGTAAAATTTTCCTGAGAAAGAACATTTTGGAATACAACTCTAATATTTTCTCCATTGCACATGACAATGTAAAAAATATTAGGTCCTTAGGATTCCTCAAGGTCACTTCGTTGTTACAAAAATTTATCCTAATGATCTTTAATATTGCCTTATCTGTGGCAATACTAAATGTTAAGAAATGAATATAATAAATCTGGAAATTTGTAAGCCTAATTCTAATCTATTTCTCAAATAGATACAGGATCCACCAAGGTCACTTATTTAAGATGGGTAGTAAACAAGAAATGTCTAATTTTTTCTCAGAGGGAGAAATAAATAAAGTCATCGATTTGGCATCGGTAAAGATTGGTAATTATTCAGAGTGCTCATTGGATATGATGGATCCAATAGCTTTTGTAACCCCTACAGGAACACTGGAGCAAGAGTTTATAGAAAATACTGTCTTCATGGATCATACACGTTGTAAGAAACAATTACTAATCTATGAAATTAAATGAAATTCATTAGCATGCATGAATAATGAACTTATATGAACTTATATGAAACTTATATGAATACTCTGTGAGAAATGACTCGTCGACCGATGTCGAAACGACGTCGAATCAACATCTTTTCGATGTCGATCGACGAGTCATTTCTCATCGAGTCACTGAGTGTTGCAAGAATGATTTTTCTTTAGCACATCTAATATGTTCCAGTTCTCTGAGCCCAAATCTTGAGCTAGCCATAACAGGCACTACAGACGGTCTAATGTACATTTGGGATACTAATACAGGAAATAATATTAATATAATAAGATGTGGGTATAACTGCAGAAGCGTTACATTCGCAGAGTTCAATCATGATGGAACCTACATAGCCACTGCAAGTTATGGCGAAGAAGGTTTCATAAGAGTATGGGAAGTAAGCTCTAAAACTAATTTCGACTCGACGCTCATAGATGAATTAGCCGTGAGTATTCTTACTTATCAAGAAAACATGCATTCCTGTACGAATCAATAATGATAATTGTGTTTAATAATCGTTCTTTTGCTATCTAGTTGGTAAAATGGCATCATTCAGCCAATATCTTATTAGCAATGAATAATGATGGAGATACTTATATATTCAACTTTCTATCAAAGGAGGAAGTAACAAAGGAGCTGATTAATGCAAATGAAATAATTTCCCCGAAATGTGGTCTTATTTGCCCAGATGGTACGTATCAGAATATTATCAGTTGAAAACACCAGATTTAAATTTATATATTGCAGGAAAATTTGTGGTAGGATGCAAATTTGGTCCAAAGAACAAAAACTACTATAGAGAAAATGAGATGTTATATGGTATAATATTAGTTACTTTTGGTTTTTAATTGAATTAAATTAAAAGTTAGTTCGCTATAAAATAATTAAGTTTACGTTAAAAGTTATTGAAATAAAATACTAGTTAAAAGTTGAAAAGTTAAAAAAAAGAAGTTACTTATGGAAAACTTAATTATCTAAAACTATATATGTATACATATACAGGATGTCCCGCATAAAACATCCAACAAGAAAAATATAAGAAAAATAGATAAAAATGAACAAATATTGTAGAGGTCATTTTTCAAACTACCACGTAAAATTTCGAGATATTAATTAAAATAGTTGGGAATAGCAGAGCACGCGACGCGGCAGGCGGGATATACGGCTCGCCGCGGCTGGCGAAGAAAATGGACGAGCGCACACGTACACGGACGCACATACGGAGTTTCCCATGCTACATTCGGAAACACACACTGTGTGCACACTACTAGACGATGGAGTTGGAGTTGGAGTGAGCGAAATACAAGAGTGAGATAAAAAGAAAAGGAGAGTACTCAAGTGACGTTTCCGAACGCAGTCTCAGTATGCCAAACGGCCCACCTCTCTGGCCTATAAGATAGGCCCGCGAGCAATCGTCGCGTCGCGCGCTCTGATTTGCCCAAATATTTTAATTAATATCTCGAAATTTTACGTGGTTGTTTGAAAAATGACTTCTATAATATTTGTTCACTTTTATCTGTTCTATTTATATTTTTCTTTTGGCGCGTCTTACGCGGGACACCCTGTATATATGTGTGTGTGTGTGTATTTTTATTTCATAAATAGTCTTTAAATTTAGTTTAAATTTATAAATAATGAA